TATTATTTAATATTTAGAGAGAAAATTTGTTTAAAATATTAATAAAATTTTTTTCATGATATTAAAAAATATATAAATAATGATGAATTCGTAATTTGTTAGCATTCACTCATAAATAAAAAATTAATTATTTTATTTTAAATTTTATAGTATACGAATTCAACTATCATACAAGATTTAATTTAATATTTTAAAATAATAATATAATCAATTTAATATCTTGGTACAAATATATTTATAGTAAAATATTTACAAATAAAAATATAGTAATATTTTAATAAAATTAAACAATAAGATATTACTTACATTATTTATTAAGTACTTATAATTACATTGGTCACTCTGGTATTATCATTATTTATTCTTCTGCTACTTCATTCAATTGCAATAATCGTTATACAAATCGTTTGGAGTGACATCTTTATTGAAGCCACCAAACATAACAAAAATTTATTAGTCTTTTTTATGTGTTAACCATGTACTTCATGTACTATCCATCTCATGTCTCATTCCTCCCAAGGCCATATTATAAATGTCTTCACCATATCTTATTCACTTTATGATCTTATATGTACATACTTCCAATTATATCCCAGCATGAAGATGTTAGATGAGGTTAGTGAAACATGTGTTACATGGCAGCATATCCCTAACTTTTTTCAAATCCCCCTTCATAGTTGTTAGTATACAAAGACATATATGTATATTTATTAATAATAAAAACACAGAACATGACATTGTGAACTAAGAAAGCATCACATGACAAGTTCATGATCTGTTCAATTATTTTCTCCAAATAATGAGGGTGTTTGGTTTATGGATCCAAATAAAAATTGGTCTTTCTACATAAAATTAAAGATTGTTAATTATTAAATTAAAATTAAATGTTATTTTTATTATATCCTAAATTATTGTTATTATTATTTACTAGTTCAGTATCTCATGTTATATACATGTTATAAATTTTAAGATTTAAGTATGCAATGTATAAATTGTACTGAATTAAAAATTAAATTTTGTTTTAATATTTAAATATTTTAAATAAATAACTATTGTATGTTATCAAAATTATTTTTATATTAAAATATAATCAAAATTTTAAGTAAATTATTTTTTATTTTTTAACATTTGAGTTGATAATATTTAAATTTTATCTCCGTATCATATATATTAATTATAATTATCCCATTAATTTTATTCTAATATTATATAATATTTTTATCTTTGTATAGTATATATATTCATAATTAATATTAATACATTAGTTTTATTTTTATTTTTATTTTTATTTTAAAAATAAAAAATTGCCCCTTATTTCTTTTATATATATATATATATATTAATTTTAAATGTTTGTTCTAAATAGACAGTGCTCGAACATAGAAAATCTGTTCGGGTCAGCCCACCCGACAGTTACAACAACCCATTTCAGCGACGGGGAAAGTCATCTTAATCCTTGTCCCCTGCACTCTCCAAACGCATTAAATAAAAAATATATATATATATATATGTATCACATTTACCATACAAAAAGACCACGTGTCTCATTCCTCAGTGCCACGTTTCCTGTCTCTCATTGGATAGTATGAAACACGCGCTACGCACTGGTCGTGGTGGTCGCCGTTTCTAAAAATGACTTGGGGAAAAAAGCACAGGAGTTTTTCTTTTCTGAGTGAAACACACGCACGCTCTCTTAAAAAGTAGCACTTATTTCGCTGATTATGCCAACTTTATAAAAAAGTTCAAACATGTCACTTATTCTGGCAATTCTCGGGGAGTGGAAGAAAACGACGTAGTTTTAAGTGGCACTATCACTTCTCTATATGAATGTAGAGTTTGCCTGTACCCGGAACGAGTCTCTGTTGACTTAGAACAGAAAATGTATGCCATCAAGCCAATCCCTCTTTTCAAGACTGAGTTCTTTGGCGCCACCGTAAGGAACGTTCCGGCGAACTACGGTGGTGGAGAGAATGAGTTTATGCAGGGAAGTTATCGGGTCGGGTCACGGGTGAAGGGAGCCGGGTCTATCCGGGCTGTGATCAGCAGGGAAGACCCAATTGTGGAGTCTAAACAATCTTTGGAAGCAAAGGAAGTTAGTGGATCAGTGGCGTCTTGTTCGTCCAACGTGAAAAGAGGGATTGATGTGAGGGCGGTTGTGACCATAAGGAGGAAGATGAAAGAGAAGGTGACAGAGAAGATTGAGCATCAATGGGAGCTTTTCATGAATGGAATTGGTCAAGGGATCTTGATTCGAATCATCAGTGAAGAAGTTGATCCCGGTTTACAGCTTTTCCCTCTCTTTTTTCTTTTGGGTTCTTTTAGAAAATCGAATCACGTGTGGGGAAAAATCTTTCTTCATTGATTTAAGTTTTGTGATTTTGTGTTGCAGTTACCAAGTCGGGAAAGAGTGTAGAGTCTAGTGTAAGGGGATGGCTGGAGAAGCCATCTGAACATGAACACATTATAGAATATGCAGCTGATTTCAGTGTTCCATTTGATTTTGGACAACCAGGAGCAGTTCTCATCACCAATCTCCATGGCAAAGAGTTCTACTTGTTGGAAATTGTGATTCATGGTTTCCAACAAGGACCCATTTTCTTTCCTGCCAATACTTGGATCCATTCACGGAAACACAATCCAGAAAGTAGAATTATCTTCAGAAATCAAGTCAGGAACTCTCAAAGATGGCGGATTTTTTTTTTCTTTTTTTTTTTAATTTGTTTATTTACCAAATCCTCTTCTGTAAGTAATTTTCGTTTCTTTTGGGTGTGTTTCGACAGGCATACTTGCCATCACAAACACCAGCGGGCCTTAAAGATCTCAGACGTGAAGACTTGCTGAGCATCCGGGGTAATGGCAAAGGCGAGAGAAAGGCTCATGATAGAATTTATGATTACGCTCCGTATAACGATTTGGGTAATCCCGACAAAGACGAAGATCTTCTCAGGCCAGTAATGGGTGGGGAGCGAAGGCCTTATCCAAGGCGCTGTAGAACCGGCCGACCGCCTACCAAAACATGTGTTGTTTTCTTCTTCTTCTTCTTCTTCTTCTTCTCAAGATTACTAATTAGCCATCCTTTATATTTACTTGGTATTAATGAATGTAGATCCAGAATTTGAGAGTAGAATCGAGAAACCCCACCCAGTATATGTACCTCGGGACGAGACTTTTGAGGAAATCAAGCAGAACAGTTTCTCTGCAGGGAGATTAAAAGCTCTGCTTCACAATCTTATTCCCTCCCTGGCCGCTGCCTTGTCCAGTTCTGATATACCCTTCACCTGCTTTTCTGATATCGACAAGCTTTACAGCGACGGTGTTGTGTTGAAAGATGAGGAGAAGCGAGAAGTGGTTGCTAATACATTCCCGGGTAATATGATGAAACAACTTCTCACTGTCGGAGAAAGATTATTGAAGTACGAGGTCCCGGCTGTTATAAGAAGTAACTATAACCAACCTTCTTCCTCTTGACATTGATACGAGTTTCTTCTGTAAGAAAATAACTCATTTTCTCTTGTATCCAGGGGACAGATTTTCTTGGTTGAGAGACAACGAGTTTGCTAGACAGGCTCTGGCAGGGGTCAACCCAGTGAGCATTGAGCTTCTCAGGGTAATAAATGATATAATCCTGATTTCTAACGTCATCATGTTTTCTGAGAATACCCATATGCATTTTTTGTCTCAGGAACTTCCAATTCTCAGCAAGCTGGATCCCAGTGTCTATGGCCCTCCTGAATCTGCAATTACAGAGGAATTGATAGAGCAAGAACTCCATGGAATGAGTGTAAAGAAGGTAATTTGATCATTTGTAGATATCTGCAATGGAATAAGATCACACTCCTTGCTTTTCATGAACTGATATCTGACACAGGCCATGGAGGATAAGAGATTGTTCATCCTAGATTACCATGACATGCTTTTGCCATTTATCAATAAGATGAACGATTTGCCCAAACGAAAAGCCTATGCATCTCGGACAGTTTTCTTCTATACCAAGACTGGTATCAGGCCAATAATTATTGAGCTTTCACTTCCTCCCTCGCCTTATTCATCTCAGAATAAATTTATTTACACTCACGGCCATGATGCCACTACACATTGGATTTGGAAGCAAGCAAAAGCTCATGTTTGCTCAAATGATGCTGGTGTCCACCAATTAGTAAATCACTGGTATATCAACATCAATTTCGTTTTCCTATCTCTTTAAGTGTTTCTTGTAATGGTGATAAATGATCACAGGTTGAGGACTCATGCCTGTATGGAGCCTTACATTATTGCCACCCACAGACAGCTTAGTTCAATGCATCCTGTTTACAAGCTGCTTCATCCTCATATGCGCTACACACTAGAAATTAATGCACTTGCACGCCAAAGTTTGATAAACGGAGGTGGAATAATTGAGGCTTGCTTCAGCCCGGGCAAGTATGCTATGGAGCTCAGCTCTGCAGCTTATGACAGCATGTGGAGGTTCGACATGGAGGCACTACCTGCAGATCTTATTCGTCGGTAATCTTAATTTCCATATCCAACAAATTGTTATTGCTACTTTAGTACTTTGGCAAATGTATTGAACAAAATAAATTCTGTTGACGAAATATCAAGGGGCATGGCGGTGGAGGATCCTTCAATGCCTTGTGGTATAAAACTTGTGATTGAAGATTACCCTTATGCAGCAGATGGTCTTCTCATCTGGTCTGCAATTAAAGACTGGGTGGAGTCGTATGTCGAACACTTCTATGTGGAAGCAAACTCTGTGGAAACTGATGTTGAGATCCAAGCCTGGTGGAATGAGATCAAGAACAAAGGCCATTACGATAAGAGAAAAGAGCTCTGGTGGCCAAAGCTGGAGACGAGGGAGGACTTATCCGGGATCCTCACTACCATGATCTGGATTGCATCAGGTCAGCATGCAGCCATAAACTTTGGACAATACCCTTTTGGAGGATATGTGCCAAACCGACCAACGCTGATGAGAAAGCTAATTCCACAAGAGGAGGATCCTGACTACGAGAAATTTATCCTAAACCCACAATGCACTTTTCTGTCCTCTTTGCCAACACAACTTCAGGCAACCAAAGTGATGGCAGTTCAAGACACCCTGTCTACTCACTCCCCAGACGAAGAGTACCTGGGTCAAATCAACCACCTGCATACACAATGGATAAACGACCACAAAATTCTAAAATTGTTCGACCAATTTTCGGCCAAATTAAGCGAGGCAGAGGAGATCATTAACAGAAGAAACAAAGATATCCGCCTTAAGAACAGAAACGGAGCAGGAGTTCCTCCATACGAACTCCTTCTGCCCTCCTCAGGTCCTGGTGTTACAGGTCGTGGAATACCCAATAGCATCTCTATCTAATTCTCTCCTTGTTTAGGATCTGGTAGTGGTTAGTGCATACAGTTTTTTGAAAATGTTTTACAATAATTATCCTCAATGAATGTAATAACGGAGCTGGGTTGGTAACAGTGAGTTGCATTCTATCTATCCTACCGTATCCTATCCCAGAAACGTGTGCAAATAGACAAGGGAAGAAAATAGTTGTGACTTTGTTTTGAATGGTTAAGAGCCTTCGCTCCAATTGCGTGACCAGTGCTTGGGTATAGATTTGGTATGGAAAATTAAAATTTAGAACAAATTATCAAATTAATCTGGGAAATTTCATATGTTACAATTGGTCTCTAATGTGTTTTTTTTTTTTTTTTTTTTTTTTTGAGATAATACATCAAAAAATTCAAGCCAACCTATGTACTATTTTTTTATTCAAACACAAACTAAATTTTTAATTTTTGTTTCAATAAATTCTTATCATTTAACAGTGTGTTTAAGACCATTAGACAAATGCTCGCAGGGTATATGACACGTGTATGTGGGTATCAAGTTTTAAGAATGTTATTAGTGCGGCAGCCACGTGACCACCATACTAGCAATCACTTTTATTCTTTTTTTTTTTTTTTTATCTTTAAATTATCATAAATTAAACATAATTTTATGAAAAGTAAATTAAAAAAAATTTATGATGTTAATGTCGTTTGAATGTTTTTGGACACTTATTTAGATATCATCATCTAACTGAATCACAATGTTAAAAGAAAGTAAAATAGTAATAACAGAACTAATCATATAGTTGTCACATTAGTAATATTTTTAAAGCTTAATCTTCACGCAAACACGTCTTCTGCCACGTGCAGAGGCATGCAAATCTTGATTTATGACCGAAAAAATAAATTAGACGAAAAACTTCAATTTGAACTAAACTGACAAAATTATTTTCAATCCGATCTTTAATCAGAGTAAGGAGATTAAAAAATCAGTACAAACCACTCCAGACTAATAAGAAAATAGAAAACCTAAGCCCACGTTGCAGCTTTCGCTGTCTCTAGACTCTCAATTGCAACTATCTCTCGATTCTCGTCCTCTCTTATCAATAGACCACGACTCTCCTCATTGCCTCCAACACCAAAATCCATCTCTTTCCCTTCGAATCAAATTTCCTACTACTTTCTTCACACTCAGTACTCCATCATCATTGACTCATGTCCTTCAAGCAACTAATGTGCCTAAATTATTTCCAAATCTGATTATTACTAGAGTTATGAAATCTAAATAAATTAAGATTAAATTGAAAAATTATGCAAATGGGGTCCTCAGCTTGCTTCAACAAAAGTTGTGGAGTTGAATTCTGCTGACATCATTTGATGCTAAACATTGTTTGTATTATAATTGTGGGTCACTTAGAATCCATACTTTAAATTTTGTAGCAGCCCATGTTTATGATATTAATGGATTAAATTAATTTTGTTGGGCGATCTCAATTCTCACCTTATCTCTCCTTAAAATTTATTTGCTTATAATTGATGAAAGTTTTGATTTTGTTATCAGTTCTGGCTCCAAGACTCCCAACGCTCTTCAGTCCTCACGCAGCCGGCAGCCGGCAGCCGGTATCCATGGTGAATGAGCAATTCAATTCAGGCGACAACATTAGAAATATAATAACAAAATTAGAAAATTTTAAATTATTGTTTTTTTTTTTTTTTTTTTAATTCTTAAAATTCTTTAAGGTTGTCCTTTAATTATCCTACAAATCTCCGAACCCTTACATATTTCTAGCAGTAAAATACCTACATGTACGATAAATACATAAATTTAAACGAATATTATAACTTGGAGGCCAATTTAATTAAGTCTTTCCTTAACAACTTGCCTGTTATCGTCTTCGGCAGGGAGTTGACGAAAGTTACTCGTCGTAACTTCTTGTACGGAGCCACCTACACCGAATTTCGACAGGTCACAATCTCTATAAAACCTTTCTTTTCAGATGAACTCTACAAGACTTGGTATATAATAATAACAGAACGTACCCTTTTGGCAATAAAATTTATAATCTGCGATTCATCAATGGTGCTTCCCAATCTTCTCACAATAAAAGCCATAGGTATTTGTCCTGCTTCCTCGTCTGGGTACCTGCCAATTTATTGTACACGGGAAGTTGATGAACTTGAAAAATAAAAGTAAAAAATTAAAAAGAGATGGAAGCAAATGAACATACGGCACCACAGCTGCATCAATGACATCTGGATGAGAATGAAGCAGAAATTCCAGCTCTGCTGGGGCCACCTAATGCAAACCAAACACGTCAAACATATATATATATATATATATATAAGTACGAAACTAAAATGGTAAATCTCATATCATTATTATCTAATTAACCTGGTAGCCTTTGTATTTGATCAGTTCCTTTATCCTCTCCACAAAAAATAGGAATCCTTCATCGTCTATGTAGCCAAGGTCTCCGCTTCTCAACCATCCCTCTGAATCCAATATTCCAGCAGTTGCCTTCTCATCCCCCACATATCCTACACCCACAGTATTAAATTTTACCAATCCAAATCTAATGCTGAGAAAAGTAATTAACAATTACTTACAAGAATCATTTATGATACTTCTACAAATTAAAAGAATGTGGGTTTGAATTGATTTGTGTGGTTAACCTAATTATTGAAAAATATAAACTTGTATTAAGAAAAAACAAGTTAAAGGTAGCTTACCTTTCATGATAATTGGTCCTCTAACCCAAAGCTCCCCAGGGTTGCCAGGAGGCAGCGCAATGCCAGTATCAGGGTCAACAATCTTGGCCTGACAATTGGACATGAGCTTCCCTGTTGCCCCTGTCACTTGGCATTCTCTACCACCCACTGTCGCGAATATCCTCGCCGTCGTCTCTGTCAATCCATATGCCTGCAACAACTGCACATGAGGAAACCGTTGCTTGAATTTTTCAATCACGCTCTTGCTCAATGAAGCTCCCCCACACTGCACCACTTCTAGTGAACCCAAATCATACCTCTTCCTGGCATTTTCACTTGGGGCCATGGCCGATACAATTGGCGGAGCCAATGCGGCGTGAGTAACCTTGAATTTCTCAATCACTCCCAACATTTCTTCCAAATTGAATCTCCCAATCGCTTTTGTCACCACACAATGCCCCATTGCCAACGCCCTCAAGCAGACGACGAATCCGTACACGTGAAAGTACGGCACCATGCACAGAATCACTGAAGGGGTTTTCCTCACCGGACTCAACGCGTGTCCCAACGCAACTGCGGCAGTCCAGTTTCGCTGAGTTAACTCAACTCCTTTGACGGCTCCTGTCGTCCCCGAAGAATACAGAATAGCCGCCGTATCAGATTGCCTCACCTCCACATCCTCCATTTCGACAATTGGACCCTCCAGCAACGACTCGAAATCGGGGGAGTCGAGGAGAACCGTTCCATAACGAAGGGGAGGCAGCTTGTGAGCGGTGTCCGACGTGACGAATGCGATGGTCGGTTTCGACAGCTCGATTTGACGTGAGATTTCGGACTTGGTGCTGGCTGGATTTAACGGCGAGACGACGATGCCGAGGGAGAAGAGAGCAAAATAGAGGATGGGAATGTGAAGCGAGTTAGGGGAGAGAATAAGTGCGGAATCGCCCTTGGAGAAGCCGATTCGAGTGCGAAGAGAAGAGGAAAGCATTTTGACGAGGACCTCGAGCTCATCGAATCGTATGGAACGACCAGTAATGGCGTCAACGAGAGCGCAGGCAGCAGGGGGTGGAGGATGAGTGCGGAGAAGAGAAAAAGCATAATCGGTTATGGAGAGGGGAAAGATTGGAGGAGGAAGAGAGACTTGAGGCCTGAGACTGTGGAAGATTTTTGTCTCAGAGCAGAAACCATTTTTTGGATTGATTGATGAAGCGGGTTCATGGTCGGGCTTCTCCATTGCAGAGTTTCTCGTTATCAATCTTCTGACGAAGAAGTGAACGAAGGAAGATAACTCGGAAGAGACTCAGTCGACATGGCAGTTTTATATGGGCTGAACGATGCCGTAGCTTTGGGCCAATTAGAGCATATGCGACAAAAAAAAAAAGATTTTTTAATATATTTTTTATTAGGGTTACTGAAAATTGTAATTAAATTATTAATATCTTAATTTGAGAGTTTTTTTATACTTGATTATTTTATTTATTCTTAAAAGTTATAATTATTATTTTAATATTTAATAATAGTATTATTGGCTAAAATATCACACGTGTTATTTAAAAAAATATATAAATATCATATTATATATAAATAAATCTTATATTTTCTAAAAAAATCAACGTAAGTGTGATACATGGTCATTAAGACGACCATAAGACTTAATTTTTATTTATAAAAATATATGTTAAATGAATGTCATGTATATATTATTTTTATATTTGATAATAGTATTATTGATTAAAATATTACACAAAATTTTATTTTAAAAATATTTAAATATCATATTATATATTTTCGTATTCAAATAGGTTTTATATTTTCTCAACAAAAAAAAAAAACAGACCATCCCTTCACGAAATCTTGAACTAAATATTTAGTAAATAAATTACTAATTAATTTATTCAATTGTACAATTATATATTTGTATTTAAACTATTACGGACTGAATTTTGAAAACCTTGAATTAAAAATAGAATTGATTTCTACCAAGAAAAAAAAAAGGACTTGAAATTATTAATTACTATTTTAATTTAAAATTTTATTATATTTATATTATAACGTCATTATTATTCCATTGAATTAAAATTTAATGCTAAACTCAAAATTAATACTTTTATTATTATTAATTAAGTGTTGAAACTTTCTTATTATCACCTGAACTCACTAAAATCTTTGATTAATGGTTTGGATCTCTCTGACCTCCA